ATATATTATTAATAAAAATATATATTCATTTTTACATATATATTTAATTTTTCTATGCATTTTTGTACAGAAAATGCATAAATGTAAACAAATATTATTGAATATATTTATATAAAAATATATAAGATTTATTTTAGAATAAAAATAACGAAAATTATTATTAATTTGTTAGTAATGAATGTTATGCGGTGATTATCATCCATGTATCCAGTAATAAGATGCAGGAAAGACTTCTGTTTATGTAGCGCCATCTAATGATTAAAACTTACACTTTTATTATATATTAAAATGAATAAATTAAATAAAATATGTTTTATTAAATATTTAACATAAATTTAATTTAGTTAATGTAATTCCTAACACAATTTTATTATTTTTAATAATTAGAAAATATCTTTCATATAAACAACGTAGTCATTACTCAACAGTAATTTTATAGTAAATATGTTTATAAATTATTTTTATTCATATTTTAAGATATTTTTTTAATTTAACATTATGTGATTTTAATTCTATAAGTTTCGTTTAATATAATCATCAAAAATTAATAAATAAATAAATCGTAAATATTAATTATATTATCAGAAATTAAAGTATATTTTCAAGAATATTTAATTTATTAAAAGTTTAAAATTAAGATGTAATGTTTTAAAATTCTTAAGTTTGTTTAAAATAATAATTATGCAAATTTTAACTTTGTTGTTGAAGAGTAAATTGATTTAATATATTATACTTACTTTAAGGGAGAATTTTCTAAAAATGATTTTCTACTATATTAAATGCTTACAAATTTCTTATAACGTTAAGTACTTTAAAAGTTTAGAAAATTATTTATTTACATAAAATATTTAAATATATTTTAACATTTTTAAATGCATAAATAAATTTTGGAAGTTTAAAAGTTAAGTTATACATACTTAAATTAATTAATTAATAGTAATAATGTGCTTAAATATGCTTAGTTATGTATTTAAGTGTCCATAAATAAATTGTAAACTTTAAATTTATACGCATGAATGTACATTTAAGTAGTTTTAAATGCATTTAACCTCCTAAAATGAGCCTTATAAATTAATATATATCATTTTGATTACATACAAGAAGTGTGGTTATGGTTAGTTCTGCTGGCATTTAGCTTCTGTTAAAAATAAGTGAATATAAATCACATTATTGAATAGGAAAAAAAAGAATATATAAAGTTACCTACTTTAAATTCCACTTTCAGTAAATTTTGTATAGGCCTATATAAAAAAAATAAATATTTTCAAAATTCCGTAAGAACAGTTAATGATTTATAAGTTAGAATCATATTAGTTCTAGATAGACGTGCCAAACTAAATTGATTGGAAGATCTTCAATTGCATTTAGAAGCGATCAATCGAGAAAAGGAAATTGTATGAATCAAACTAAATTTTTGAGACGTGAAATCGAAGTAGCAAGGTATTATTTTGAAACCAAGTTTCCATAAATGATTAATCAATTTTAAAAAGAAATTCAACATTTCTATTTATCTGTTCGAGTTAAATCCGTAAACACAATTATGGTTTTGAATTTTTACGTTTTTCGAATTTATATCGAAATTTCCTTTCATCCTGTTACAAATCGTATTAGTTCAAGCGCATTATACTCAGATCTTATCTGAGGTGTTTGGTGAAAACATCGTGTTTTTCTCTAAAAACCTGATATTTAATATCTTGACGCTTTTGTAAGTTATCGAGAAAGGAAGACTTACGAAAAAAGAGTCCGAAATAACTATTTTATACATTTTTATTCGTAATCTGATTTTAATTCGACTGTTAAAAAAATTCGTTATTTGTATTTTCAAGCAAATTTCAACTTGAGTCAAAAACTGTCAGAATCCTTCCTTTAAGTATCCTTTTAGACGTATCATAGTATAAATTTATCATAAAAAGATTTTGACTCTCCAATTGATTCTTCAACTTCACAACAATTTCTATCTTCTTATAGATAAAAGCGAAACGTGTCAAAATCGCTTAAAGATGAAAATTTACTTCATAAAAAGGAGGAAAGAAGAAGACGGAGAGAAGGGCAGAGAGAGAATGTACACAGCTTTCAACTCGTGTTAACTTTTCTATAAATAATCAATATGATTATTATTAATTATTATAAGATAATATTTATAAAAATTTAACATCATTAATTTCATGCCATGCATAACTTCATATTTTAAATATGTAATATTAGTTAATAATTTTAATAAATCATATTAAAATTTAAAGATATAAAATTTTTATTAGATGAATTTTATTTTTTTTTGCATGTTTTTTATTCTTATCTTTCTTCATAAATTATTTATATTATTTTATATAGCTACAAATTGTACTAAAAGTATCTTTGATAAATTAACCACTGTGCAATGGGTTTTCTGTATAAAATGGCAATTTTTTTATTATTTAGATTAATATATACTTAATAAGCTATATACATTTTAGTCTTTTAATAACAAGAAAAGATTTTAACGTGATACAAGTGACATTGCAACTAATCATAGATTTAAAAGCCATTAATAATATACATATGAATAGCTCGAAAAACAGTATTTTTATCGACAATTTACACTATATTTCAAAGATAAAAAGATTGATTACATATATATTTTTCCTTCTCATAAATCTTTTTCTCAATACATTCAGATGGTAGCTTTTAATAAAAACTTATAATAAATAAGGCTATAATTTTTTTATTATCTTATAAATAAAACTTGTATGTTTAAAGCTATTACAGTTTTAGCGCTGTTGTAATCATTTAAATATTTTTAAAATATTTATGAAATTATACGTTATAAAATGTGGTTGGAGTTTCTTAACTGCCTTCTCCTGTGTGCCCGAACAGAATGACATTATTTTGTGGTATTTGTATTTAACTGTTTGGAGTATTAAGCAAAGTATTCAGCATCTAACTTGACTGTATACAGATATGAGAGTAGCAGGTCGCACATTAAGTGTCACCTTCTAGAGAAAATGCGTCCATTAAGTCAGTTGTAGTTGAAGATCCCAGAGGTAATTTCATTACAGAAATGTCGTAGGAGAATAACGATATGTTTTAATAATTTTTAAAAATTTCTTTTAAAATTTATCACCGATTTATTTAAATTTTTGAAGCGAGGTAATTTTTTAAATGAATGTTTATATATTATGAATGACAAACATTTGTAACATGTAAAAACTATTTTTTTAAAGTAATAAACTGTGTTTAATCGGAAAACAAATGTAAACGATATCCATTACATATATTAAATTTAAACACAGAGTTTTAAATATAAATTTGTAAATTAACTAATGATATTATTTACCTTTTAAAATTAAATTGATACATATGACAATATTTAGGACGTAAATTTTAAGGTAGAAAAATATATTTATGTTTAACCCTGGCATAAAAATAGCAGATATTGAATCATTGAAGTGAAAATGCGGTTCTCGGTAAATGTAGCATTGCTATTGACCCCATAGTTTACACAATAGTTAAATAAACAAAACATTTGCAACGCATGAAATGGTAACAATGATTAAATACTATTATTGTCAGGTTTATATAACAATAAACAAGTTGTCGTTATTTAGAACACGGTCAAAGACAAACGATTGGGACAAAATGGATAAACTCTACCATTTTGAATAGCATAAACTTTATTAATAAACTTCCTTTATAGTTGTGTAACTAATAACTGATAAGCTCACATGTAAATTAATGATATCCTCCTTGTCAATAGATAGTATAGACTACATATATATACAATTATAACTATAAGCATTTAACTAAACAATCTTGTTTTACTAAACTGAATTTAAGTACACAATTACATCATTCTAGCCTAACCACTCAAGCTTTAATAAGTCGCAAAGTTTAATACGGATTCCACTTACGATAAACCTTATTAAGATAGGTGTAACAGTATATTATTACATTATGAACTCTACTGCGGTGTATAGGTCTACCTCGTTAAATCATATAAAGCTTCCTGTGATATTAAATAGAATTACAATCTTAATGTATTAATTAGGCGATATCTTAGCTAGAAAAGAGTCCAGGATTTTAATAAAAGAAATTTATTGAAGAATGAACGCAGCTTGGAACTGTCTTAATCAGTTACCTTTTATAATTTTACATAATAAAGAAAGTATTTTTATAGGTTTAAAATTCAAAAGAACGTTTAATAACGAAATATTTCATTCCTTTTCAGATAATATACGTTATGTCCAAATAACTTTATTGTCAAATAAACCTGTAATAAATTTTCTTTA